AAAAGAAAATTATAGCATTTAAATTCGTGAGTTCTGATCAAGTCCTAAGTCAGCATTTTAACTGCTTTGTGTTTCAGTTTACAGATCTGTAGTGTGTGAATAGTAACCACTTCCTTAGAATTGTTGAGAAGATGAAATTAGATAATTGAATTTAGTGCATGTAAAATTTTCCCACCAAAGTTTTCAATCAAAGGATTACCTCCAGAAGAACTTTGGTGGGAAAATTTTATACTCACTAAACTCAACTGCCCTATCCATGATAGTAACATTTTTTTTCTTTTGTGTAGTATCTTTCTCCAAAGATAGATCTCTGTATCTAACAAAAACTCCACCTGGGGCTATTTCTTTACTATCTTTCCTTATGCAAGCATGTAATAACTTCCCACAATGTACCCAACATAGACATCATGACATTTCAAAACTATGTTCCAATTATAATGATGCATCCAAAGCTGGATTATGGAGCAATTAGGCACCATCCTTGCCTTTCAGCAGTTCACAGTTGGATTATATGATGTAATAAAACTATGTGAAATTCCCTATAAATGAGCCAGAAGTAGGGTGGAGGGAAAAGGTGAAGTGGCAAAGAATGGGGTCTCTGGAGGAAGTAGTCTTTGGGATGGACTCCAAATTCTGTTTAGTACATTATGTATAAAGATAAGGATTAGGAAGGAGCATGGAGTATTCAGGAAACTGGTAAATACCTGGATGCACAGAGCATTTACCCTTTTGGCCTCTTTTTTGAACTTCAGTGGCCATTCTCCAATTCTGTGTGGAGACCCATGAATTGTGACTAAATCAGGGTTTGGGGATGGAAGAGAACAGTGAATGACAAATCTCTAATAGTTAGATTCTGAGTTACTTTTTCAATCACCAGTTCTTGAACCAGCACAGAGAACACAGATTAGTTTATTTCCTAGACAAGAAGGTTTTGCTAACCTTATATGTTTATTAGACATCATCTAAGTGGGTATATTTGGAGAATACACAAATTCACATTAAAAAGAATTTTATTGATGTTTGAAAGGTGGTTCAGACAGCTCTGAAAGACTTCTCAAAAGAAACCAGACCAAGTCTTCTCCTAGAAATATTCAGAAACCTAAGAAAAAAGCTAATAAGACAGTTCTTTCCTGAAAAATGTAGAAAGGGGCCATGCATTCTTTGGTGATGTGCTCCAGAAAAATGTTAACAAAAAGATGGTTTTTACTATTAAACCATCAACTGACTTTGGCCTGCAAAACACCAGCTGGCTTACATTACTTGTAATGTGCTTTGGTGTGTCTCTGATGATAAATACGAAGGGTCCTTTAAGATATACAGAAATATTAAGCAACTAAATGTGCTTTTTCCCCTCCCTTTGAAAATTTAAGGAGTCGAAAGAAACACAGAGACCTTTAAACACAGGGAAAATTACATATGGCTGAATCAGTTCTGTGCCCACTACAATGAGCCGATGAGGCCATCTCCTTTTTAGGAGAGAGAATCATTGAGTTTGAGCTCCAAAACTCAGGACATTAACCCTGCATTAAAAAGAAAACAAAACAAACAAATAAATAAACAAAATAGAAAACAGAAAACAAACAGGAAAAAACCCACCTTTTACAATACAGCCTCAGTCATATCCCAAATAGTATCTCATAGTTTAATTTTATTTTATTTTTTCCATCAGAGCTCAATATGTAGGCAAGACAGGTCCACCTATCTTGGTACATGCCAAGCATATTCATGTCACCAAGTCTCTGCTCACTCTTTCTAAGAGCAAAGCCTTCCTTGACCACCTTAACAGTGATCTTTACTCCCACTAACCTCCTAATTGAAAGCCCTTTTTTTTTACCCCCTACCTGTCCTCTAAGACCTAGTGCGCTGCTTCTGAGGTTGGTGGCTTCTAGGTGTAATCCAATCTCATAACCAATGATGTACGTACCCTGTAAGTACCTTATTTGTTCAACTCTACATCCTTTAACATGGAAGAAAGAACCTAGTACACACTGGGTACTCAAAAATGTTTTGTTTGGTTGGGTGACTGATGGACTGAACTTGGAAATTACGGTATTTTTCTACTCAAGCAAACACCATACAACAAGTAGTTTTCCAATGTGCTTTCCAAATTCAACTCCCCTTATAATTTTATTTTTGGTATAGAAACTTTAAAGAATTAATCTATCCATTCATTCATTTATTCATTCACTTATTCACTGAACAAGAATTTTATCCCAGGCTCTGTCCTAGGTTTTTTCAATAAACTTATAGGCACATGTGAGTGACAGATATAATGAAATAATCACACAGTCAATGTAAAAACCAATGTAAAGGGAAATATATTGATCCCTGTTACCCTTATGGTATTTCTTCAGATTTCTGGGCTTAGAGCCTGCTCTTCTTTTAGTAGAGCAGCCTGAAGTTGACTCGGGGAAAGAGTAAGGCAGAACACTGTGTATAAGCACAGAAAAGTCATCCTAAGCTCTGTGGTCTGTGATATAGATAGTGACCAGGAAAAAAGAAGGGCTTTCCCTTCAGAAACAGAAACCACATAGACTAGGGGAGTGGGGGCATTGATCTGAGTGATCAAAGCACTCCTCAAAACGGGGACAGGTTCTCAAAAGCATAGTATAAGCAGTCTACTTCCGAAGTAGAGAAAAATGTCTGGCAAAGTCAAAAAGATGAAAGTTTCTGTCTTGCACTTTGCCCTCCTAAGCTTCCATTTTCCTGGAAATCTCAGGAGATAGAATGATTTGGTAGAACAGTTTCAGGACTCAGAGCTGCACAGTCCCTGGCTGCAAATCCCAGTTCTGCTCCTTCCTAGTGGTGGAGCTGGAGTGTGTTACTTATCACGGAGGCTCATTTTTCTTATCTATAAAAAAACAGATCATGACATTCAACTTGCAAAATGTTTGTTGTCTCACGGTCCATTCCAAGAAACCAGAATCCCAGGACCTATGTCTGGAATGAAACTCCAGGAGTCCCTTGAAAGAGAGAGGGACTGATCCTTTTTTGCAGGATGCAAAGTGAAGGGAGGGCAATGTGGGCATAACCAAGTCACATACCATATCCTAGGAGGGAAACAGAGCTTAAGAACTGAATCCAAAAGTCAGCAGTCAAAGGAAGGTAAAATAGAGCTAATGAGTTGTCATGAAGCACCTGGAAGGCTGGCAGATGCAACATGGAGAAAGTTCTGTACTTGACTGGTCCTGGCAATCGTAAAAATCGATGGTTGAGAAGATAAAGTACCAAGGACAGTGCCTGGTGTGGAACAGACACTCAAAACTTGTCTCTTACCTACCAAATTGCTCGGGCATCAACTAAAGTTAAGGACACTGTAAACAACTTTAGAGTTTAACACCTTCAGCACTCATGATCTTAAGTGAGTTGTGGCCCCATGTGATGGCCAAGGCACCACTGAGGTTTGATATTCCTTACTCTATAGTATGGAATATGAGGCTGAGAAATTTTTCTTGGTTTGCCCAAGCTTCCACACTAATGAGATAAAGCTTGGAGTTGGGCAATATCTGGTACAAGTAAAACATTGTTAACATGATTGATGGTTCTACATGACTGAACAACCAAATCATTGGAGTGGGGTTTAAACAAAATCAAGATTTCTGAGCCACTCCAAACTTGCTGAATTAAAATTCTCTAAGGTTGGGGAGCAGCAACATGTATTTAACCATAAGCTGTATGCCAGAAATTGACACATTGTAACTGACTGTACATAAATAAATAAGTAAATAAATAAATAAAATATAAAAATCCACCTTCAGTAATTTTGAGACAGTTGCTTTGCAATGTGGGGCAGGTCATCTGGGTACCATTACTTTACTCGACACAGGCATCTACACAGTAAGACCATATTATCAGCCCTAATTACTCATCCAGTTAGAGCTAAGCTGGGCTATAAAAACTTTGGGTTTTCCTTTTAATAGGCTATAAAAGTGACCCTGTTTTTGCTCCTGTTTTCTCTGACAATTTTTTTTTTGCAGTTGCTACCCAAAATTTATTTAGCAATTTTAAAAAGCCTTCTTTTAAGAAGGATTAGAAAATATGATTAGTCTAGCAAATCACTCGATATAGATTCTGGAAACCTAAGAAGTAAAAACAATTTTATATTTTAATCTCTCACTTAAAGCATCACATAAATGGGAAAGTCCTTGAATTCTATAGCAAAAAAAAAGGCAAATGGCAAAATGGTTTTATACAAGGTATTTTATTAAATGTATAAGAAACTGTGAGAATTGGGGTAGTATAAATTCTTCTGTCTTTACTGAGTATAATAACACTTCGTGAAACTTTTGCCTTAAAGTTAGGAGATTAACTCTGTGGCTCGGGATGAGGTATTCATCTGTGGGCTTCTTTTCCTCGTATGTTAAATATGAAACATTATGGCTTGCTCATGGTATCCAAGGAAGAATTAAAAGAGATTATATGGGTGAAGGTATCTGCAACCAAATCGGGTACATAAAGATACTCAGCAAAATTTAACTGTGTCTGCTTTACTTTCAGAAAGATTGGCAGTGAAACGGTTCTTCAGTTAATTCAGTTAGTTCTTCCTTTTCTTATCTATAAATGGAGATCTGTTCAGGAAAAAAACAGGTTCTAGAATCTCTTACAAAGCTGAAGTTTTGTGTGTTTACTATTCTAGAAAGTTTTTCGTATGACTCTAGTTAACCAGAACTACTTCTAAGAAATTGTGTTGGTGACTGAGAAGTCAGTGAAAATCCTTGGATAATCAATAACATGCTAGAAGATTTATTATGTATAGAACATAGGATTTACTTGTGTTTAGTGAATTCCAGTGTTAGTAAAAAATACCTTAAACTTAAATATGGTGAATGCCATTCTTTCTTTGATGTAAAAGGAACTTCAAGATCTTGTATAGCCTTTCATTTATTCTTATACCATAAAAATTACTGTGTTTTTGGCATGTTGACACATCAAAGTATTGGAAATTTTCGGGAAAAAATTATGGAAACTAGAGTTCTCTATTTATATCTATTCAATGTTAGATGGATTCTGGCCTCATTATCATAAAATTTTAACTTTTTCCCCAGTCCCAATTACAGTGTCTGGTATACAGTTGGTGATCAACAAATCAGAAGAATTAACAAGTCCATTTTCTATTGAGCTCCATTAATTGGTGTGATGTAATGGAAAAAAGTATTAATTTGAAATTCTCCTGCTCCAATTCTTTTCTTCCTTTTCATTTTCTTTCTTCTCCTTTTCCTCCTGTTTCTCTCCCACTTCTTTCTCCTCCTCTCCCAAGTTGCCAACTGGTCCAACACTGGTCTCTCTTCTGCCATGTTGTAGGAATGAGCAGCACTGGCTTCAGGGAGCAGCAGAATATCAAGAGGCTGAAGAGGACACAGAAGGCAGCCAGGCCCCGGAATCATCTTTTCATCACTGACAACGGAACATGACATATCCTGAGCCAGTCTCTGATTGAGGCATTCAGTAAGAGGAAATTCTGCATGAAGAGTTATCTGCAAAAAAAATATTCCTACGGTGAATTAAATCATCAAGCAAACTTGGTTTATAAATATTCCCATCCCATCATTTTTACAAGAATGTAAACCACACCTAAAAGCACATTCCTTGTTTTGTAAGGAAATACAGGGCGATGCACACTTCGTCCCACGGTGCCAAGACTTAGCTTTAAATTTGATTTCAACCTTTTTGTTTTCCCTCTGTGCTGTAGTATGATTTCACAGTCCATCCTCCCATCTGTTGAAACAGAGAAGCGCTTGCATTTTAGGCTGAGATGACTAATATTCATGAGGAATGAATCCAAATTCAAACTAAATGCACATTTTTGCATTTGTCCAAAGCTAGCCATGAATTATCTCAGACTATCAATAGAAGAAGAGGAAAGTTACTATCTGTAAATCCCCACTTGTTTTCCCAAATTGCACCCTTGGCAATGGGTGTGACAGAAAAATGTTCAGTATTCCTCGTAGCCTAACCTGCCAAGAGAGATAAAGCCACTTTGATGTCCCGGGACAAGAGACTACACAGATTTTTACCCGAAATGGACCTCAAGCCCTTTTCAGAGAGGAACAGGCTAAAACGACCTGCCTGCTTCCTAGTCTGCGGAATCCAGAAGAGAGACCAGCGGCCCCGCTGACTCCAGGAGGTGGCAGATCTGAAGTTCATAAAGGTAATGCTCTTTCAAGTACTCTGGCCAATAATGAGGGTCGTGATGATGATAATAGGGACCGTCGCAGTAAAAGTTGACGCAGTAGTTAATATCATCAGTGCTTACCTCTCCTGTGTGATCCCTGGTGCCCGCGCTGTGCCTAGCGATTTGCGTGCATTAGGCCATTTGCCCCTGATGTTGTCCCTGTAAGGAAGCAAGTGAAGCTCAGTGTGGCTGAGTTCCAAAGGTCACACAGTGGGTAGCGGGGCCGAGCTTCATACCCACTTCTGTCTCCCCTCCCCTGTGTGTGGCATAGGCTGTTGCCTTTCTGAGGGGAGGCCCACCCTTGACCTCCTTCTGGGACAGCTTCCTCACCATCTGAAGCCACACCCCCATCACACGGTACATGAATGAAAATCATCTCTTCTGGAGGCCGGGTAGAAGGAACACTCCAGAAGAGATCTGATTATGCCCCAAACGAAATTGCAGATTTCTTTGGCTTCAGCAAAGAGGTCTCAGGCTCCTGCCCTCGCTGGAGTTTCTGTCGCCGCCGAGCTGACTTGGGGGCACCCAATTCCCAGGAGCAAGGCAGCTCTTCTCCTCCCGCAGT